TGATGGACTTTGGGATCAGACAGCATCTCAAATGTGCTTCTGGCATCGCATAAGGAAACCTTGCTAACAATCTCGGTCTTTTATTGTCCTCTTCCTGTTCTCAGATCACTGGGGAACCCTTGATCCGCAGATCAGATGATAATGAGAAGGCCTTGAAAATCCGCCTGGAGGCCTACCACACTCAAACTATCCCGCTGGTGGAGTACTACAGGAAACGGGGGATACACTCTGCCATCGACGCATCCCAGACCCCTGATGTCGTGTTTGCAAGCATCCTAGCAGCCTTCTCCAAAGCCACATGTAAAGACTTGGTTATGTTTATCTAATGTTGGGTCCACAAAGGAATTGCTTTCTTATTTCTGTCTCTGCTGAGGGAGTAGGTGGGAATAGCAGAGCAGACAGAGAGAAGCTTCCTCAGGTCAGCAAGAATATCATTTGATGTACTGATTAAAAAAAGCACTTGCTTAATGTATCTTTGATATATGTGCAACTCTCATCTCATCTGTGTGTGTATGTGTGCGTGCGTGTGTGTGCACACGCATTTTTGGTATAGGTATGTGTATACTCTATTTTCTAAGTTACAGGGAAGGTTTCTTTATCAACCATTTACTTCTTTTGCCATACTCTTGATTTCATTTTTCGACCAGAATAAACTAAGGTGTCTGCCGGGTACCCCAATTCCTTGGTTTTTATTCTATCTCCAACAGCTGTTTAGAAGTCCAGGATCAAGTGTAGTCAGACAGGGCCTGAGTTCCTACTGGCAGATCGTTGGCAGGGAATTCTGCTTATTTCCTAGCCTACAATAAAAAGACATATGAGTCAGTATATGGACAGAGATCATTGATTTTTTTTCCCCTAAATGGGAGTCAGAAGGTACTTACATTACAGATTCCAGAAATTACTGGGAGACAGAATCACCGTAGAAAGAGCCAGACCAAGTTGGAATATTTTTGTAATCTGCATCATGATTCTATAAAGTAAGGATCATTTAGGACCTGTGTTTGAAAACTGAATTGTGGCCAAGTGAAAGGTCCTTTTGAATTCCGACTGTCTTCTGAACGTGGAGGCTGGGCATCTGAGAGCAGCCAATCCACTTCCCCAAAGTGGATTTTGTTTTAATATTTGTTTTTGATGTTTGCCTTTCTTTCCAAGGATGAACAAAACAGTGCTTTGGAGATGGTCTATTCATGGATTCGTTTGATTAGAATTTATTCAAACCTGGTCACTCTCTAGGATATGAAACCCAAGTCAGATATATACCTTTTAAACTCAGTTCCTCTCCCTTCCAGATCCAATCCTTTATCCCTTACTTCACGATTGTGGTGGCCACAGACTCCCCAAGAAAAGATCACCTATGACAGTAATAAACTTTTATGCCTAACCTCAGCTCCCTGGCTATTAAACATTTCCTGGATTCCATGCCGTGCCTTTTGGTCTCTAGTTTGATTTGTAGTAAACAGATGAATTAATAGACTGCTAAGAGGGACGACAAAAATAGCGGCCTCTGGAAAAACCATTAGAAAATCAGTGGCAGGTCCAGTAAGTAATGTCGTGTGCCCCAGCATAATCTGCTGACTCAGTGCAGAAACTCTAAAATGCCCAGTCCCCACCTGACCTGAGCTCTCCTGCTGTCTTGTCCTCTATCCACCTGGAAGCTGAGCGTGGGTATGTGACCATCTTGCTTCCCTCTTTGTCTCGTTCAAGTGAGTGTCTGCCTTGTTTTCCTGGCTGTAAACTAACTCCACCCAGTCTGGTGTGGTGTGTTTCTGGGAAGCACATGACTTCTGGGAATGGGCAAGGAAAAGGAATGAAACCAAAACTATCAGCTCTGTCTGCAGAGATCTGGGCTCCTTTTCTGGATGAGAGTGGCCTCAGAATCTTGGAGTCTCCTCACCTTTGGGGACAGTTGCAGGCACTTGGCCTCAAAGTCGAGGTCCTTGAATGTTTGCTAATTGAATACGTGTGATCCTTGCTAAAATTTTTGTCATCCGTCCATATACATTCACATGTGCACACATGCACACGTGAATGTATATGGATGGATGACAAATTTGTGTGATCTGTGGGCTATTGATGAAAACTAGAAGATTGTGGGGGATGCATTTGTCTTTTGGGGGTGGTTAGAATTTTGTTTTTACTTCATTTAACTCCAGAGCTTTAACTTCAGCAAGCACGAGAGCTTTCACCTGGCAGAGAAATGTCGTGTTTAATGCATTTGGTTGCTGGGGCATGCATGCCAGCCTTCTCTGATGTTTACTTAGTTTTTAAAAACCCATTTTGTTCTCTCTTGTTTCCTCTCTATTTCAGCCTAGTAACAGAAGGCCAGGCGAGACTGCACCACTGCTCGTCACCCCGCGGCGTGATCCCTGCTCTTAGGTGCTGGGCAGAGGGGAGGGGTGGTCAGGGTAAGCGTGGAGAGTGAAGAGTGGTGAGGGGCTCAAGAAAAATACTGGAAGAGCAGCAGTGTTATAGTGAGGCAATTTTTTATACGTATAGTAGGAATCTTAAAAAGCATAATTAATTTTTGAAAAAACTGGAGGGTATAAGTAGAAATAGGGAAGTACAGTACTATTTCTAAGAAATCAAGTTTTTATTTACTCTGGACTAGTGACAATGTTTTTTAAAGCCAGTTCCCTAAGTCCTTGGCTTTTATCTCTGAACCTCATGGGTTGCCAGTCAAGCAATGCAGGAAATCAAACTTGTCCTGTGTGTCCTATGGCTTGGGACAAGAAGGGTTTGACTGCTGACCCTGGTTCCCCACACCATGAGATCAAAAAATCATCTTTACATTTGAAATATGTATGGGGTATGCTCATGGGGGCAGAGGCTCAGCAAATCAAGTTTACAGAAGTCATGGGAAGAGTGAGGCAGGCTGATCTCACTCCCTTTCCTGACTTACCACTGGTCTACCAGCCCACCTGCTCTCATGGGTAAGCTGTCAGCGACTACCCAACGTATGGAACAATCCTACACTCTTGCCTTCTTCCATCCACGATGTGTGAAGGGACCCTTTAAATAAATGAGCAAGTGTCCCAAACACCCTCATCCAAAGATTGTCCTTCCTGTCCTCAAATCCTGTGACTGGGATCACTCGACAGCACTGTGATGTATTATTTTCAGTGAGGTGCCTTTCTTAACTGACAAAATGCTGCCTTGTTTGGCCCTTAAATCAATAAAGTATGTAAAAGTTTGTATCCCCTGTTGTGGCATTTTTTTGAGGAGATCTGGGCTAGTAAAACGTCATTGAATTCTAGATCTGACTTGGAAGCCCCTTCTTGGTGGTCACTAGAAGCCATGAGGTGAGACGGTCCAAGTGTGTGCACATGAGACGAGACGGCACCCTCTTGACCTTCAGCTAATATGCAGGCTTTTCTTGAGTCCAAGGACAAGGCAGCTTGGTTTAGTGGAGATAGCACTGTGCTCGGAGTTCAGGGGATGTACAACAAATATCATTTACTTTGCTCTTGTCTGGAAAGAAAGACTGGCGATGTCGCCTTCTCAGACTCATTGGTATTAAATGAAGTTTGTAAGGAGAAGCTTTTTGCTCAGTGCCTGGCACACGACGGGATAAGTGTTAATTGGATCCATACATACACAGAAAAATATCTGCTTCCTGCTGGGCTGGATAATTGTTGTGCAGACAGTCGTCCACAGTCTAGAAAGCCAGTGCTTCTAATCCGTAAGCCAGATTTTTGGCTGCCTTTTCAGATGCTTCTTTAATACCCTTAGTTGCTTCTTTATAAATCCTTTCTTCCCCAGCAAAAATGAGCTTAAATTGTTTGTCCAAACTAAAGCTCTCTTGCTCTTTGGAAGGGCTGCCTTTGCCAGTGAGGTTCTGGGAAATAACTGCTCTCCCTGAAACCAGAGGGAGCCGGGCCAGAAGTGCCACCATTCTTCTCCTTTCAGGCCCTTAACTCTGGAGAGAAGCAGAATTGTCACTGCTGTATTCTCCCTGAGCCAACTCCCTCTTCTGCTTCACTTCCCCACCTCTACAGAGTCATTTTAAGTGTCATCCTGACCTTTCATTCCCTGAGCTATTTAAAGACCCTATGAAAATTTTCTTCCCCTCATTGACCATCATGCAACAAATGGGGAAATATTTGTCAAACTAGCCTGGAAGGCCTCGTGGTGTGGTTGAAGAAGACCCAATGAGCTGTTACTCTTACACTTCTTCGGCCTTGGTTTCCTCATCTGGAAACTGAAACTGAGTAAGATAAGAACGGCTACTGTTCCTGGAGGACTGATATGCCAGTTACTGTGCGAACAATACCCATGACCTCACTTGACCTCTACGAAGCACCGTAGGTGGTTGGAACTATCGTTCTTCTATTTTACAGCTGAGGAAACCAAAACTCAGAGTGGTAAAGTACAATTCCTGAGGTCACACATGAGAGGCAGAGTCAGAACTCGAACTGTGGCCTTGATTTTGTTGCTGAAGTGATTTAGTGACTTTTGCAGCTCTACAGCAGGCAGGGCCCCTCCGGATGAGAGTTCTTTTTCATGGACACTCACACTGCCAGAACTGATTTTGAAGAAGTCACTGCCAGTTTGAGGACCCAAGGTGTGTGTCTTAGGATCTCTCATGTGCACAAAGTGTCACAGGCAGACAGAGCAGGATGAAGAGCAGCACCGGTCCCCAAGAAGCCTCACCAGTCTTCTCAGGAAGGCAGCTAAATGAGTCGGAGGACAGATTTCAGCAGCAACTCCACCATGAGTCCTTGGGCAAAGTCATCGCACCTCGTCAGTAGAATGGAAACGGTCCCTGCCCCTGAAGTGTGCTGACAACTCTGGTAACCAAGCTACTGATGAAGGCCAGGATATCAGTGCACAGCTGATGTTCAGTATATGCTGATGGAATTCACATTGAAAATGTAGACATTGGCAAAGCCTATTGTCTTCCTGATTTTTAGGAACCGGGCTAAGGATTCTTAACCTGAAGATGTCCTAGAAGTCCATGGACCTCTGAAATTATGTACAGAATTCTGTATTTTTAATTTTCATAATAATTTAACGTTTAATGCTTATTGTGTGGTAGGTTCTGCATATGTTATAATTTATTATCAATAACCCTGTGGATGTGTGTACTATTATGATCTCCATGTTATGTGTGTGCATTTTGAGGTGCATACTTCTGGGAATGGTAGAACCAGAGTGAACCCTGTCTGGCTCCACACCTCAGCCTCTTACCACTGTGCCAATTGCTTTGACACTTTGCTGGGAGAAGAGAAAGATTCTCAAGGCACTCATGATACAGCGAAATCTATGAGCCATGGATCTGAATGAAAGAAGAAATTCCAGTAGATTTGCTCTGTTACAATGAAGGACCTGATTGGGGAATGCTACCTCAGGTAAGGCCTTTTTCTATTTTGTCTTTCTTCTTCGCTGTGGGTGCTAAAGCTCCAGTGTACTAGATTTGCAAAGATCTTGGAACCACCCCTATTCCAGAAGGGCCAGAGGGTCAAGTTACTGCGGGAGAGAGGAGTCAGTTACCCCCACCCATACACACCAACCCCTTGTCTGTTTTCGGGAAGGTTGACAACAGGAAGGTGTGTATACTGGCCCTACCGTACGTGTTATGGCATTGCATTATTCTTAACCCCAGAGGGACTCTGTCCTCCCATCGTGGGAATATGGCAGTTCGGTTCAGAGTCCCAGGCAGTGTGGTGCTGAGCATCTCTCACAGGAGGCTCCTTTTAGGTTCCCAGTCAGGATGCCCTCAGCAGAGAACTGACAGGAATAGAAAGACAAAGTGTCAGAGGGTGAAGGTAAGATAAGACTTAGGCCCAGGCCCTATGTAGATCACCCCTCAGGCCACACAGATCTGTTCTTATGGGTAAGATTGCTGTATAGCAAATCATTACATTGTGTGGTGTCCCTTAGATACAGACTTTGGGGACATATCTCTCTGAGCTTCATGATAGGAATATTTAGCTAGTCTACATTCTACTCGATAAGAAATGCTTCATTTTCTACTGTTTTCCTTTTTGCCCTAGCTGTGAGGAAACTTCCCTTGTGTTCAATTGCTATACTTCCCTCTGCCAGAGTTTCTTAATAAATTCTCACCCCACCTCACCCAATCTCAGTCATTTGTGTTTAGTGTTTTTGTGTTCAGATGTGTATTGCAAACAGCCTTGAGTCTATTTTGGAAAAGAAACCGAGTGTAAAGAAAGGGCTAATTATATGGTACAGGAGGTCAGACTGCTGAGAATTGGGTAGCGTGGGGGAAGAGGTGGGGTCAGGGTGGCTCTTTGGGGGGGATGGGGCATTCCAGTCAGAGGACACATCCCCCGAAGGAAGGTAGATGCCACTAGCACTCAGGGCTGCTTTAACCTAGTGAACCCCTAGAGTTCTTGGGAAATCCGCATCTAATTGGAAATAAGTGTTTTTCAAACCAAGTTTAGAAACAATAGAAGCGAAGTTTTTCAGCTCAAGAGTAATGTCAAGAACCCAGAAGAGGAGACAAGGGCTGTACACACAGAGCTGATGGCCCATTTTAAGCTCTGCTCATGTGCCATCCTTCCTCCTCTCCGAAACACACGCATCAGTGCTTTGACCGTGAAGTGGGTGACCCTTTGCTGTGGAACTCAAGAGAAGGGAATCTCTCAATGTTATTGTCAGCTCTGTGTTCAGTCATGTGCCTAGTGATGTTGGCATGGGTTCTGGGGATGACTGACCTTTGGTTAGGTCTCAGCACTGACAGTAGCTCACTGTGTACCATAGGGAGACAACCTCTAAACTTCAATAAACTCATCTGTAAAATGAGGATCATAGTACCCAACTATGAGTGGCAGAGTCAGTATGAATTGAAAAATAGCTGTCTAATAAATGATCTTTTTTTCCCCTCCTTTCCCATAGCCATTTGCCAAGGAAAAAAGGACCTTACCATGGCTACCAGGTATTTCAGAATCTTTACTCATTCCAATTCCCCGATGCCACCCCCATCTCCCTTGGAATACTGCACCAAACCAGAACAGTTTGCTTTTTACTGATATGTTTGCTAAAGCCACGTGTTAGGTTGGCGGTACCTGCTCTTAATCCACAGACCAGTGGCTACCTGCAGAAACTGCCCTCCTTGAAGCCCAAATGGGAGGGAGTGCAGATGAGCATGATGGGATTGATCTGTGTGCTTCAGGTCGCATGGGACACAAGGGAGGTGGTGCTGACAGAGTCTTTGGTGAGAATTTGTTGTCTCATCTTTGAAAATCTTTGAAAATTGCCCTATAGTAAAGGAATGAGAGCAGTACCTCCGCTTTGGTGTAGTTGGCACAATTAAACAAATTTGTGTATATCAAGAGCTTTAGAACCGTGATGTCCCGTGGTGCTCAGTACGTGTTCCCTTGCTGGCAGCTCTGGCTCAACAATTCCACTTTATTAATATATCCTAAGGAAATGACTAAGTATGTCTAGCATTTTTTATAACAGGGTAAAAAATGGAAACAACCTAAATTTCCAACAACGGAGGAGATAGGCTATGATTCATTCATGGGATGGAATAGTATGCAGTCATCAAATAAATCATTTCCAGACAAGAATTTCATGATAAACTATTGCGTGAATAAACAGGTATAAAACAATAGAGAATGGCTCCATTTTTTTAAAGTAAACTTTTTATTTCGGAATAATTTTAAGTTTACAGAAAATTTCCAGAGATAATACAGAGTTTCAGCATACATGTCACCTTGCTTCCCCCAATGTTAACACCTTACATAACTGCGGTACATTTGTCAAAACTAAGAGATTGACATTGGTACGTTAGTAGACTTTGGCTTTATTCAGTTTTTACCAGTTCTTTTTTCTGCTCCAGGATCCACTCCAATATACCACATTGTATTTAGTATTTTTGTGTATTGTTTTAAGCTCATGTGATCCAGCTGGGTGGGGAAACTAAGGGAGATTTTACTTTAAATTTTTTGTTGGGTCTTCTCATTTTTCTGTTTAATGTGTCGCATAATTAACAAACAAAAAGAGCTAATGGCTTCAGGATGAGCTGGCGCCCTGTGGGATTACTGCTAGTATGGCTATGCTGTGTTGTGATTATTTATTCATTTGTCCTCTTTAGACCTCAAAAGGAAGGGCCGTATCTGCTTCATCCCCCTTTGCCCGTCTGGAAGCAAAGCGTCAGGCATGGTGCTAGGCACTGAAATCTGAGTGAATGAGTGAAGTCAGAGAAGTTCATAGCTACCAACTCTCAGAGATTAACTAGTCAGCACTTCAGCTCAAGGAAATCCCAGGCCAACGTTTCCCGTCTCTGCCCCCTGTTCCAAGAACTCTAGGCCCAGGGATGGGTTTCTAGGGCATTTCTTTGTTTCCCATGGGAGCAAGATGGGCTCAGGTAGTAGCCTAGCAAGGAAAGGCAGCCCAATTTACAAAACATTAATTTGACACAAAAACTCTGCCCCCAGTGGCTTGCCTGACAAACTCCTAGTCATCTTTCAAGGTGTGGCTCAGATGTCCCCTCCTCTGAAACCATTGTTGACCCACCTTAGTTAACAAGATCACTCCTCGCTTGTGTTCTTACTGCTGTCCATGAGTCTCTGATTTTGTGTCTATCTGCCCACCTAGACTAGGAGGTCCTGGAGGGCAGGCACTGTCTCGTTTATCTTTGTTTCTGGGCCGCCAGGGCCCAGCACACACAAGAGTACATTTGTTGAATCATTAAATGTGAGTATTAGTGTGTCTGTTTTGCAGATAAGGCTCACAGGATGTGAGTGGTACATAAAATGATGCCTAGTCAGGGGCAGAACCAGGACTGAGCCCTGGTTTGGGGAGTCCATCTGGTGGGGACAAGAAGGCACAACTTCAGATGGCTAAGGTCAGAGCTTGGCACACTTTCAAAGGAATCATGCCTCAGTCTGATCCCTGCTGCCCTAGCAATGGCACAGCTGAGAGAGGAGGGAAGAAACATATTGAGCACCTACTGTGTGAAGAGCTAGTGTGAGACACGCACAGGATCCTATTTAATTCTGAAGAAGGCATCATTATTGCTATTGTACAGGGGAGGAAACAGGAGTGAAGTGACTTGTCCACCATCCCACAGTCAGGGAGAAGCAGGGCAGGATCTGAACTTTCAGCCTGGGTGCCTGTACACCTGGGGGTCAGGGGCTCATAGAAGCAGGAGCTAGGTGGCGACTCTCAAAAGGGGGCAAGCTGGTATGGCTTTTGGGTGGCACTGGGGGCTTAGTACTGGAACTGTGCCCTCTGGCTCTCGGAGCATCTCTACCCCAGAGACAAATCTGGGCATCTGCCCAGTGCTGTCATTCTTGCTGTGGTCCTATACAGCTGCCCCGCAGGCTGTGTCTCTGGCCCGGTTCCAACCCAAGGCCACCCATGTCTGTAGCTCCTCCATACCTGTGCCAGCCTGAGGCAGAAGCAGGGGAGGCTCAGTGCCTGGTCTTGGTGGCTTCAGAATAGTGGGGCAATGGGGATAGCAGCGGGGCTATGACCTACAAAGGAGTCCTATTATCCCAAGCCAGGATCTCAAGGGAGGGGGACTCTGGCCCACCCCCACCCAAGGTCACTATATCTTTTTGTCTCAGATATTCTGAAGGGAATGCAAGTGGACTGGAATGTGGAAGCAGAGTGGACCCCAAAGGCCGTACTGGGTGGGGCTGGCATCGCCATGTCTCACAGGTCATAATTCTGATGACAAAAGCCCTCTATTTCTGCAGAGCTATCACATTCCAGGTTCTATGCTGGGAGCTTTTTCAGGACTAACTCATTCATTTCTCACAGCAGCCCTGGGATGTAGGCTCCATTATAATCCCACCACACAAATGAGGGAAATGAAGCTCAGAGAGGTTCAGCAACTTGCCCAGGTCACACAGCCAGGGAACAGAAAAGCTGGAATTTGAGCTCGGTCTGGCTCCAGAGCTAACAATTTTCTTCCAGCCACATTATTTTTGTAGTCTAGTCTCCTACGTTCTAGACTCAGCTGCTTCCTTGAGCAAGTCCCAACCTCTATGGGCCTCAGTTTCTCCTATAAAATGAGAGGATTAGACCAAGTAAATCTCTGAGGACTGAACATTATGTACCTATGATGTCCCTCCAACCCCCAGAGGAAGAAGTCACCATGGCAACCATGGGAAGTTCACTGTCAAATTCCAAAGATAGAAAGTTAAAGTGCAGTTTTTGCGAGGAGCTCACAGAAATCTAGTGGGAAGACAGTCCCATATGCAATTCAGTGCTGCTAGGTGTTATAATGTACTGTAGGGCTCAGGCTTTTAACGGGGCCATGAAGAGGTAGGATTTGGATAGGTGGGTGGAAAAGGAGTTCCAGGTAGAGGAGACAGCACAAGCACAAGCTGGGAGTGGAGACTCGAATCTAGCTTCACACTCTTGACTACCTCTTTGAGGTCAGTCCACTCCACTAGTGTGCAAACTTCCCAGGCGACCATGGCCCTCTTCACTCACTGGCATCATGGCTCCAGAACCAGACAAGATGGGTCCAAGTCCCAACTTCAACTCTGTGACCTCTGGGTTTCAGTTTTGATCTGTAAAATGGAAATGATGATACTAACCTCACAGGTTGCTGTAAGGATTCATTGCGATAACATAGAGGGTTTAACATGAAGTTTGGCACATGGGAAATGCTCAATACATCTTTATGGGATGTCCTTCCATCCTCTCCACCCACCCACTACGCCCCATTGTCTAAATCTTTCATCTCGTTGGGGTTTAGTTCGGTTTCATCCTCATGCATTAAGCCTCTCTTCTCTAAGTGCTGCAACCCTCGCTCATTGCCTTCTCTTAACTGCTGCAGCCCTTATCTATACCTGTACACAATTCAGCGTATTTGATTAAGATTTCTGTTGGTCACCTCCCCAGGATCTAGACTGCTTTCCCCTTCTCCACTGTCTCAGTTCTAATTGGGAATCCACATGGTTTAAGGAAAGCTATTTCTACTCCTTTCTGACCCCCATTCAAAGGGTGAGACATGATCAAAGCGTAGCCAATAAACAACCCAGACCCCTAATGGCTGATCCACAGGTGGGCAGATGACCTTACTCAGTCCACAGTGAATCTCAAGACTTGGGAATGCTGAGATACAGATTCTCTCTTTTCTCTCTCTGGCTCTGGACAGTATAGAGTACAGATATGAGGTCTGGAACTGCTGCAGATATTTTGCTACCATGAGAAAAGCCAGCCTGAGGATGGAGTCCTGATCAAACCATGCCTAACTGCCAAGTTACACCAGATTTTTCAGTTGCATGAGCCAACAAATTTCCTTTATTGTTAAGCCAGTTTTCTGTTATTTGCAACTAAAATCATCCTGATTCAAACACTATATAGTTAAACTATTTACCAAGAGATGTATTTATTCACTTATATATTGATTAGGCCACCGCTACATACCAAGCACTATGCTAGGTGTTAGAAATTTAACAATAACCAGTATTGATATGGTCCTACCCTCTTCAAGTTTGTAGTCTGGAGGAAAGAAACAAGGATTAAAATGCCTGCTTTGGGGGTTGGGTCTGATGTTATATTCAACCTGCTCAGCATCTACCCCCCTTACTTTGGATTGCAGAACCCTGAATTTCTTTGGACACCATCTAAAGGGCTGGTCAATTGACCTAGGCCTGGCCAACTGGTAAATTCCATGCCCCTGGCCACAGCGACTCATTCAACAATGGGCATGAGACCCAGACCTGAGACTGCAAACTTTCAGAACAGGTGCTGCAGAGTAAAGTCTAGACTCGTCAGCCTGCTGCACAAAGGCCCGTCCAGCTTTCTCTCCCCCTTGTATTTTATGCTTTGGCATAACAACCACTTAGACGCCTCTGAAATCACCACCCCATTTCTCCTCCCATAGCCTCCTTTCCCTTCCACACCCACCTGGCAACCTCCAATTCATCATCTGGAAGTGTGATTGGGCCCACTTCCCACTCAAGCCACCTGAGCACCTTTTCATTTGTAAATACATGGACACATCCGACCACCCCCAAATGACTGGGGCTCCTTCAAGGACAAAGAGTAGATCTCAGTCTCCTCTGTGACCCGAGTGCCTAGCTCAGGGACTGACCCAGAGCTGCATTTCTGAATGGATGGTTGGAAGTCCTTCACTTCTTCAGCAAACATCAGGCTTCTGCCTCTGGCCCGCTGGTGCTGAGCCAGACACAGGATACAAGAAGCACAGGGTACAGTCCAGAGAGAAACTCCCATGCTAATAGGTAATCACGGTGTTGACTGACATGATGGGATCACAGGAGAAAGCAACTACTTTGAGCGCACTACGGAAGGCTTGCAGGAGTCACCATCCAAACTGGGCATTGAGAGTGGAGCAGAAATTAGCTGGATGGTGAAAGAATGAAAGACACTAGCTGTTTTAAAGATTCAAAAACTGAGACATAAAGAAGTTAACTATCTTGCTTTACTTAGCAGTGGAGCCTGGATTTACACCCTGGCAGGCCCATTTCAGGGCCTGTGCTTTTAGCACAGGTAGACGGGTTTCATCATCATCATCATCATGTTATGCTAATGAATGTTTATTGAGTGCATTTTCCATGCCTGGCTCTGCTGTGTGCCCTTCAGACTGTTACCACAAGTTTAATCAGGTTCTAATCAGGTTGGCAAGGAGGACACTGTCCAGCTGGAAGGCCAGCCTCAGAACTCACAGTCCAGTGGAGATGCTGCTCTAGGCCTTGCTGTGTCTGAGCCACCCAGTGAGAAGTAGTCTGGCCACTTCCCTAAATTGCTGACAGGGACCTTTGGCAGGGGCGGACAGACCCTTGTGCTGCAGTTGGCTAAGAGCCTGGCCAGAAGGGCTGAGCCAGTGTAGAGTGAGCAGTTGCAGGGACTGGGTCCCTGGGGCCTCCAGGCACCCTGGCTTAATGCAGGGACATTATGAGGTTGCTACAGCCCAGAGTTGGGGACCAAGCATCAGGATCCCTGCAGTTTGGGCCCAGCTTGGTCACTGATGTACTATGGATCTTGGGCAAATTCCTACCCCTCCGTAGGCCTCAGTTTCCTGGAAGGTGAGTGAATAAGATTGCCCCTGTCTTTGATCTTCCTCCTGCATATCACCTATGATAGGTGGAGCACTGTGTGTACCACAAAGCAGTCCCTCTTGCCAGGAAACCAAGGCGCCAGGTTATTTAGGATCTCTCCTTGGTGCTAGGCCCTGTGCTGTGCAGTGGAGCCATGGGAAGTGGGGTGGGAGCTGAGCTGATCCCTGCCTCCAATTAGTTCCCAGTCAGTTGTGGGATTGGGGAACAGACAGAAAAATTAATCACAGCCTAGTGATTAAGGGGCAGGTGGGAGGCAGCAAGGGCCTGAATTGAGCACCAAGTTGCTGAGCCAAAGCTGAAGGCTCCTAGGCTAGAGAGAGCAGGGCCCACACACAGACCTCACAGGCACCTGGGAGGGCCCCAAGCCTCTAGAGTCCCAAGTAGGCCCATGCAACCTCTTCCCTTCCCTAAGGACAAAGGCCACCCTGCCTTCCTGTTCAGGACACTTCTTTACCTCTAATCTCAGATAAAGCTCTTTCCATAGCAGCCCACTTATCCTAAGTACATCATACTGTGGGTCTCATCCTCTATCTTCTGGGTTTCTCCAGCAGCCCAAGGAGGCAGCTGAGACTCAGCTGGCCAGGTGATGCAGAGACAGTTACTGAACGCCTATGAGTCAGACCCTACGTTGGCCTCCAGAGAACAGGCCAAATAGGATTCCTGTAAGGAGCCCACAGTCTGGCTGGGAAGACAGGTGCTAAATATGTTAGCATGCCAATAATTGATTATTTACTACTGTTTTGGTTGTTTGGAAAAATGAGTAGCTGGAGAACATTATAACAGAGTTGACCTCTCTGGGAAGACAGGGAACGTATTCCTAAGGAAGTAACATTGCAGTTCAAACCCAAGGATGCAGAGGAGCTGGCTTACTCAATGAAGCAGCAGGGGGAAGAGTGTTACCAAGTCCAAGATGACTTGTCCAAGGTCTTCTGACCATAGGGGGCCTGACTCAGGCCCACTGCTTCACAGTTCCTCCTGTCAGTATTTTTCTCCCATCATTCAAATGTCAACAGGAAATAATTTCCATATCTTCGATCTAGCTGGATCCTCTGTGAAGTGGGGCCCTGTGCTCCTCATTCAGAGGCAAACCGAAACCCAGGAAGTCTGAACGACTCACCCATGTCCACACAGCAAGTCAGATCTAGGACAAGAACCCATATCTCTGGGCTCTGAGGTATCCGGCGAGATCATGGAGGAAAAGTGCCACTTTGGCCTGGGCCAGACTATCCCTGGAGATGTCAAACCCAAGAGACTTTCCTGGGAAACAACTTCTTGGAGGGACATGATAAGGTCCAAGAGATATTTTCTACTTGGAGACAGTCCCATGCTGAGCCTGAGGGTGCCCAGGAACCCCAAGCAGTTTTCTCAGCCTTGCTGGTAGTCCAGAGTTCAGAGCAGACACTCAGAGTGTGGTTCTTTCTGCCCTTGAGTTAGCAAGCAAGACTGCTTTTGAATGAAATGAAACTTGAGCCCCACACGAGGGCTGGACAGGTCCCTCTAGAGGATATGGGCACCACCATCAGAAAGATCTGTAAACTGTAGGAAGCTCTAAGCCCTTGAGCACTGGGCCCCCCAAGCCCTGAAGAGGAAGGGGCATCTTTGGACCCTAAGGGGGTATTGACCCCATTCAGGGGCCTCTGGGTCCCAGTGGAAGGGTCTCTAGGCACTTACAGAGAGAATCTTTGGGTTTTGATGAGGAGTCTTGGGATATTGTGGACCTGGAGAAGGGAGTTCTAACAACAGATCACTTATCAGAAAGATGGAAACAGTTGAAGTGTTCAAACATATTCAGGTGCATATATTTGCTCCATCTATGGAGTTTCCACAGTTTATCTTATTCCCAGGGCACTGGCCCCTTGATTATCTTATGCATTCCACATTGGCCTCAGAGCTACATTTTGTGGTGCTAAAGAAAAATAATGGAGAAATGAAGAGAGCTGCCCAAGACCCCACAGAACATCTGAGACCACACCTGATCTCCTGTGGCCTCCATCCACCCATGTACCCTCTGCCACCCCGGGGCCCACCCTGCCCCAACCCAGCCTGGCCTTGCCTTTCTAGCCTCTGCTGAGCTGCAGTCCTTAGAAGCCAAAGAACCAAACCTTACTCCTGACCTGAGTTCTACTTTCTGAAAAAGCCCTGTCTAGGGAGGTGGAATGAACTGCCTCTGCCTCTTCCCTGCATTGCTGTGAGTTTAAGTGAAATCTTGGATCTGAAAGTGCTTCATAAACTGAAAAATGTTGAACCAACACAAAGAAGGGGAAACCACCGTTCTATTATGTACAGAGATGGGTGATTTGGAGTGAGGCCTTTGAGGGGCTCACGGTTTGGGGAAACAGATGCATAGACCCACAACCCCAACATGGCAAGGATAACGAGATAGTCAAAGGGTGTGCCAGGTGCCACAAGGGCACAGGCAACGCCTAAGGGAGTCAGGGAAGGCCCTTGAAAGGAGGACCCTTCGGAGATGGGCCCAAAGAGAT